TTATAAACTATTTAGTTTAAAATATAAAATTTAAATACTTTTACCACCAATTTTTATTTTCTATGATCTAACAATGCTGATTTAAAATGCCGGTCAAAACCTCAATTCTAAAAAAAAAAAAACATTTTTATCCGTTGTGACATGATGGCTTTATACTTTTAGAAGTCATTGAGAAAGTGATTATACTATGTTTCTGGCAAGAAAATATCATGCAATAAAGTTAATGTACTTTTTAAACATAAATATTGTTCTTCTCAGCTTTTCCAATTTCATAATATAAATGCACCAACCCAATTTATGCTTACCTTGCATATACTTATACATTTATCAGACCGTTTTCATACATGATCTTTTCCGGTTAACGATTTCAGTGATGTTGATTTTGATTTAACATGCAAATAACTATAACAAAAGCAATATTCTTGTCAGGTTTTACGAAGATCGGAGAAAACATATGATATGAAAGACACAGAACTCTGGGGCCATGTCAATGAAACTATTTTAAGATATGTCATAAAAGAGAGGCAAAAGATACCAAAGGGACATTCAAAGTCGAAAATAAACTCACAACGTCATAGCAAAAAAGAAGAAGAAAACATACAAAAGTACATAAAACACAACATAGAAAATTAAAGACTGAGCAACACGAACACTACCAAAAACTGGGGGTGATCTCAGGTGCTCTAGAAGGGTAAGCAGATCCTGCTCCACATGTGGCACCCGTCGTGTTGCTATCTCATGTTAGATATAAGATCTGTCATAGGAAATTATTTAGGATGGTTTTATAGTACGTGTCCGAGAAATGTTTAAGGATGTTAAACAAAGCTATCTTAGGACAGTCCTTACTACGATTGTCCTAGGGTCATCCTAACACATGTATCTAATTGATAAAAATATGTAGAGAGTTAACTGAAATATATTTTAATGTCCTGTTCCGGTGTCAAACTTTAACAAAATTAAAACATTTTAAAACTTTTTGTACGCTTCGGAATGTAATAAAACTGTGACAAAAAGAAGTGTAAAACTTTGTATATTATATAAGGAATCACATATGTCCGTTGCCATGGATGAAATGTACATCGTCTTAACCTTTAAAAGTCATCAATGACCTCACGAATAGCCAATGAAATATCGTAATATCGTCTCATGGTGCTGGATAAGCCAATCAAATTAAATCAGTTTTCGTATCACTTAGAAATATCTCATCATGCAAGAAATAGATAACAGACCGTAAGAGAAAGTCCATTTACAGTAATAGAAATGTTTACAATATGTTAATTTGACTTGATATGTTTATATGATATACTATAGTATGCCACGGTCATATGTCACTACTTTGTATATTACAGACACTGACATAGCTATTTTAACCCAGTAGCTGAAAAGATGATAATTCATAGAACGACTTGTCAAACTACAGTAAAAGGATACATCGAATAAGAATTAGAGAAACAATATTCTGCCCAAAGGAAGTGAGAAGGCTACTTCCATGAATTATTTATTGTGGTAATTGCCTCTTTAAAATCAAAATCTGTTCAGGGCATTGTTATAGAAATCCATGCTCTCGTCAAGTGAGGGGGCCTTGCTGGACGAGTGGTCTAATTTGTCGAACTACTGTATCACTAGCCTGTCAGCACTGGGGTTGTGAGTTCTAATCCCGCACGTGGCAGGTGTGCTCCTACTCCAATCGTGATTGACGATGATTGTCAGTTTACTTAACGAAGGTGGGTGGTTCTCTCCTGTTTCCTCCACTAATAAAAACTGACCGCCACAAAATAGCACCAAAATGCTGAAAGTGGCGTTAAACACCAATCAATCAATCAATCTTGTCAAGTGGAGTAAGCCGTAATCAGTATACCTGATGGAGATTTCAGGAAATATGAAACCTTTTTTTTTTAAGTTTCACGAATTCTGTCCGATGATTTAAAAACCGAAATTTCAAAATTTAGGAATATCAAAAAGAAATATTTTTTCAAATCGAAATGATGTAAATTCAAAAGCTAACATTTTGATATTTTAATTGTCAAATAATTATATGATGAATAAAAAACCTTCAATCATGGTTTATTTTAAACATATCCCTTGTACACTTCGTCCTTTTTGGGGTTACATTTGTACCTATGAAGGTGAAACATCATTTTGAAGGAATAATGAGGTATATATAATTTTTGCACCTCATGTTTGCGGTATGCCATCTTTTCCGCAAGTTTATTGTTTTCTGTTTGGTATTTAATTAATAAATTAAGATCCATTTTTACATGTGGTGATCCGTTTATTTGGCAATCGCCATGGCAGTCAGCAGGGTTTAAGAACATCAGTTGTTCGACCTGCTAGTCAAATGCGTTTTGTTAAAATATACTTTTTCACTATTTTTGGTATTTTGGAAAATGTTGTTTGTGCTGTATTTAGACCACTCGACCAAGAAATTTGTTTTGCATGCTCACGTATAAAAATTGCGGTTTTTATCCAACGCAATCATAGGTTTGAACGTTGTTTTCAATTTAGACTTGTTTATATTTTTTCGTTTGGGCTTGTATTATATTTGCCTTCGGGTTTATATGATCCGTTCATCCTATTTCGACTCCTCAAAATTCAAGAGTCTATCCTAAATTGAGGTAAATTGAATGGCTTTCCAAATACCGTTTCTATTCCTAACATCACTGAAGAGACATTCATTGTCGAAATCCGGATATAGTGTACAAAAACCTTTGCACCTTTTGTTTGCGGTATACCATCTTTTCCGCAAGTTTATTGTTTTCTGTTTAGTATTAAATTTATAATTAAGATCCATTTATTAAAACGGTGATCTGTTTATTTGGAAATCGCCAATGGCAGTCAGCAGGGTTTAAGAACATTTAAGAGATAACTGTATTGTATTTGAAGCCTTGCGGACGTCCATCGGTAGTTGTACTGTCGCAAATTGAGTTTACCTGGCGACGCGGAGCGGAGACAGGTAAACGGATATTTGCGACAGTACAACTACCGATGGACGTCCGCAAAGCTTCAAATACAATACGGTTATCTCTATTCTAATGCAAGTTCTCCTAACCTAGTGTTATTGATCCAATTTGAATGTTTACAATGTTCATTTCATGGCTATTTACATTATCCATCCGCCAAGAAATAGTTCTTTTACCTGAAGTCCAAGTTAAGATTGCGTGAATTAATCTTTTATTTCAAAGTATGAGAGGTTAAAAACTATACTTTCAAGAAAATTCTCAATTTATTAAACAAGAAATAATAAAAGTTTTCTACGTAAATTCCAAGTCCCCTCGGATATTTTTAGAATATGATCAAGTGTCATGGCCGATCACGAATTCGGACGAAGGAGATGAACAACAAAGTCTATGGCTGTGCAGCGTTCCCTGTAATGTTGTAATTGAAGACTTGGACAGTTGAATTATGGACCTCAAACTGCTTGTTATACAGAACAGGTAACGACAGTTGATTGTTAATATGTGTGTTGGTCAAATTCAAACAGTGCGCGTTGAAGGAAGGGGCTGGGTTTGGCGGCAAGGGCATTGCATTGGGCTGTGTACAAATTGGCACTGGTGCGGTTGAGCCGGATTTATCACTGCAATTTTCGGAATTGCCAAGTAGAATGGCAGAATACTGCCTCTTCTGTTTCTCGGAGGAGTCCTGATAATAGGATTCCAAACTGGCCTCTGACTTGTGTCCTGTTATTTTCATTATATCTGTCTTTGGTACACCTGATTGTGCCAAAACAGTCACAGTTGTTGCCCTGACACAATGGTTGGTGTAAATCTGACTTAGTCCAGCACTTTTTGATATGTCGACCATCATGTTGTTCAAAAGTCTTTCCCCAACAGGCCTTGAGGTATACCACATCTCGTCCTCGTCATTTACTTTTACTCGAGGTTGTTGAAAGAATATACTTGATGTAGGGTTCCTCTTGGATAGATATTTTGTCAAGGCAGCAACAGGACAGTCAGGCTTTTTTGTTTCGTACATCCTGGGTTTTATAATGTTTTGATTGTCATCTAATCCCCCTTTATGATTTTTTGTTGTCTCACTCACTGCCATTTCTACAAAACGACGACCACAATCATCTGATTTAACAACAAAGGTTTTATCAGTGAAAAACCTTTGGTTTTCCCGGCCCCTCCTTCCAAAACTTAAAACTAGGTCAAACCAGATTTTTCTTTGAAGAGTCTTAGGGTTTTGAGTTGATAAGGCATCTGATGACCTCAGTTTATGCAAATCACCTTCAGAAATGGATGGGTGATGCTTGGTCCTGTCCATTCCTTCCCTCTGAACCTTCTTTATCATGGCCAAAAACATTTTATTTGATTTAAGGAAGGCAGAATCATCAGACAGGATGGAATATGTCTTACTAAAAGGTGGTGCCCTGAGGTGTCTATTAATAGATGCCCGGATACCAACTAAAGTACTCTTGGCATAATATTCTCCGTCTGTATTACGGACCTCAGCATAGAATTCAGTCAAGGCACAATTCAATTGTTCAACTGTATAATTTTCAAAGGTTGCATCTTTCTCTCTATCAGTTAACCACTCTGAAATTTAGAGTTATGATACATGTATTTGTTATACTTTATATGCATGTGGCAAAAAATCTAGGCCACACTTGTTTCCTATTTATAATAATTTAAAGCAATTTTTTCCAAATTTTATTAAGTAAAGACTGACAGGTAAACTCATTTTGCGACAGTAAAACTTCGGATGGATGTCCACAAAGCTTCAAATACAATACAGTTATCTCTTCAATTTATTTTTTCAATATTCATCTAAAAACTTGCATTTTTTACCAAAAATGTTTTTTTTTGTTAATGTTTTTCATGCGTTCTTGATTCAAGAAAACACTTTTGTTTACGTTTAACAAGGAAAATTTACCTATGACATTGTATGATGTAGCATGTAAATTGTTGAAGAATTAAACATTGTGTAGTGTAATTTTCTTTTCTTGTTTTAATTAACATAAAAAAATTGACTAAAATTAACTTCTATATTTATTTTGCAGGTGCTAGATAAAAATGGAAGTCTCGAAAACTCCGTAAAACTAAGCAGCATGCAAATGATGTACATATAACATACAATTACAACACATGATTCAATTGGATGTGGGAAATACAAATAAAAGGCAATATTGGAAGACGAGACAGAAGAAAACATCAAAATGTTTATATCGTTTTTTTGACACAACAAAATCTATAAATAGAATGGACCAGTTGCTCAAGATAAAGTGTTATGAAACGTGAATATACATGTATGCTAATAACCATTATAGAAAGTGAGGAAGTTTTATAATTGGTAGTTGAATTGATTGTGGATTTCAAGGCATCTAATACTATTAGGAAGATACTTGTGCAAACATGATGTTGGGATGTATAACGGTATTTTTAATTCAGCAAATTTCATGAAATTATTAGTGAACAGAAATTTTCATCTTATGCATATAAGACGAATACATAATGTAAAATTGTACAATAAACACCCGCAATTGCACCCATTTAGCGTTTGCAATGTAAAAAGTTTAGTCTTTTGGACGGGATTCCATGACCAAAATAGACAGTAAGCAGTGAAAGTGGATAGCTGGATAGATTTTGATTATGACTATATTTCATTTCTTTGTCTTATTTTTGAAGAGGAAAAGAAATATATACAAATCTTTATACATCAATTTATTTTTATTTTAACACATACGCCTAAATATCTTCACTCCATATTTTGTGTTTTTCTTGGTTGATTTACTAAGCGCCTCATCAAGTATATTTTCTTTGTCATCAGATGATAGTTTCGGGAACCTCCCACTTGGCTTTTCTTTGTTTTCTTCTGTTGTTATACCTTCAACAACCTCCATCATTTCAATTAAGTCTTGGTCTTTTTCTGGTTCATTCACTAGTTCCACTGTAAAAAAATATGACTAGGGTCAAATTATTAACTGGCTATTTATTTGTCAATTAACGTGTAAACTTTTTTAAAAGTAATTTTTTTTATTCAAGAAGCCAGAAAACGCCTGGTTTTTATTTTGACACCAGAAGCATACTTATGACGTCACCTAGTTTAGGGACCAAAGAAAGTAACATCTTTTCACGGAATTTTCTTTAATGAAAATTTTACTCTGAAATAATGATTGAAATTTAACTATGAATTTGTTTTGCATTAGAAAAGAGATAACTGTATTCTAATGCAATTATTTTGTATCAATGGTTCTGACTGGATGACAGTAAGCGTAAAATTCTCTATCTCCCTGTCTGTAACTAAAGAAGCCGACATTTTGAATTGCGGAATGTATTGACATGTAATTTCTACAATAATAAGCAAAAAACTCGCATGTTGCACCTAGAAATCTTCTTTTTTATGAAATTTTATTACATTCTGAAGCGGTCAAAAAGCAAGAAAAAAACGCCCAGTGTTTACGTTTGACGCCGGAAGCATACCTATGACGTCACCTAGTTTAGGGGCCACTGAAGATAACATCTTTTCGCGGAATTTTCTTTAATGAAAATATTACACTGAAATAATGATTGAAATTGAGTTTTGTACTTGTTTTGCATAGAGATAACTGTATTGTATTTGAAGCTTTGCAGACGTCAATCGGTAGTTTTACTGTCGCAAATACCCGTTTACCTGTCTCCGCTACGCGTCGACAGGTAAACTAAATTTGCGACAGTAAAACTACCGATGGACGTCCGCAAAGCTTCAAATACAATACAGTTATCTCTTAATTTGAAACTTTGCGTTATCTCCTGAATAACCCCTTTAGCACCTCCCCCCTTTTTCCCCCAAAGGCAAATCCCAATTTGATTTGACATAGATCCCCCCCTTTTTTCCCAAAGGCAAAGATCATTTTAATTTGACAGAGGAAGTAATAAAAAGGTTGAAACAACTGACAGTGATCAATTTTAGAACATGCATTTTTAAGGGAAAGTGAATTATGAAGTGCAAAAACAAAGAAAGCCTGAATGGTTCCCGTTTATTGTTACGGGATGTTGGTTGTTAAAAAATGATTGACATGCTCAAGGAAGAAATGATGGTGAAGTATAAAAGGGTCAAGGTATAAGCTGTGCAGATTAAAATCTGCTTAGAAATTGTTCATAAGAAACCTACAAGCAACTCCATCAGTTGTATCATCACCAAAAACACCACTTGTGTTTACGTCGTCTGCTGTAAATTCCTCTGGCACTGCCGTAGGTTGTTTATCAGAGTCTGACACTTCCGTATTATTTTCTTTGGATACATTTAAATCAGTTGACTCTAAACCTTCCAGTATATCTGCTTCCAAGTCAAAATTTGACATTAACGGTCCCAAAAGATCCAGGTCATCCAGATCTGACATGTGAAAATCGTCATCTGACGTAGCCATTGTTATTGTTGTGCGAAGTATTTATGTCACAAGATTCATACGCAAGGAATTTTGTGAAGCGGCTCCGACGGGTACATTGTCATTGTACGCTTGACAAGAGCCAATGAGAAAACGTGTTACATAAAGATTGCATTAGAATTGTTGTTCGACCTGTTAGTCAAATGCGTTTTGTTGAAATATACTTTTTCACTTTTTTGGTCTTTTGGAAAATGCTGTTTGTGCTGTATTTAGACCCCTCTAACAAGAAATTTGTTTTGCATGCACACGTATAAAAATTGCGGTTTTTATCCAACGCAATCATAGGTTTGAACGTTGTTTTCAATTTAGACTTGTTTATATATGCGTATATATATGCGTACTGTTCAGAAAGAATGATGCTAAGATTTGACTCTAGGTCGAAAATTCGGAAAAAATCTCCAAGTGTAAAAAACGTGAGGTGTGCACCTTCAATGTATCGGGGCCTTTCATAGCAGATTATACGGTATGGGTTTTTCTCATTGTTGAAGGTCGTACGCTTGCCTATAATTGCTAACATCATTTCAATTGAACTTTGGTGGATAGCTGTGTCATAGGCAATCATACCACTGGCATCTTCTTATTTCTATATACATACATACAAATTAAGATGAGGCAGGTATGACGGGTATTACCTGTGAAAGAGGACAAAGTCCGTAAAATAATTCTCAACAATAGGGACTTATCATTTTTTTACCTGGGAGAGGGGGGGGGGGGTTGGTCAAAATGTAGGGGGGATCAAGTTTTTTTTATAAATTCAAAGTGGGGGGATCAATTTGATCTCTAATGAAATTTTATGAACTTTTGAATCTTCAAGTATATCCTACATATCATGTGTGTCATAAAATATTGGCGACTTAGTGCTTGACACGAAATGCCTCTTTACCAAATTACAAAACAATTTATTCCCAGTATAAATTATGTTCAAAAAGTAACTGAAATACGGAAACGTACCCGATGTTGGTCCTGTTGTTAGGAATTTTATTCCTGACGTCATTTATGTAAACAAAGAAACGCTCTCTTCTTCACAGGTAACGTTTTTTTTTTCATAATAAAGTATTATTTAATTAAAAGTATAATAATCTATGCATTAAACGACGAAAATATCACATCGGCTTATCATTATTCTTCGTTCATTTAGGACTGGTCATTTGTAACCTGAAAAGGCGGGAGGAGGGGGGCCTTGACAGAATATTGAAAATTTTTGGGAATGGAAATGGGGGGGGGGGGGGGCATTGAATAATTTTGGCGACCAGTACCCACCTCTTCCTTATACAATAAACAAATATAATTTATTGGCACGATAGACAACAAATCAGAGGTCATCATTTTTTTCCGCCTTGCTCCGCTCGGCTCTATACACCTTATCGGTATTTGTCCGCCATTACTGGACATCACAAAAGTTCCCGTAAAATTTTGACGTCATAATAGAAAATATCTGACGCCACAATGGAAAAGTGATTGTTGTATGACGTCAAAAGTTCAAGCGGGATAGATTCTCGGGTCAAGCGGGAATAGCGATAAGGTGTATTGTTAAGATTTAAATCCTAAGTTTCAACATTTTTTTTCCAGGAATGTTTTTTTATCTGAAGTAAATTTAATTACCAACTTCTTTGATAAAGGATATATGTGACCAGCCATGATATTTTCACTCATTTTCAGGCTTATGGAGGTATCAGGGTCAAAATGAGTTTTTTGCATTTTTATGAAGTATACAAAGATTCAAAGCAACCTGAAAAGTTAATATGCTAGATTTTACAAAATAACAGAATTATGGTCATTTTTGTTACGTTTGATTTTATTAACCATGTTTCTTTTTTCAATTTTTCACATGTATGTTTATCTATTATTGTTACCTTTAAAACTTGTCATATTGGTTTTTTTGTTTGTTTTTTTTTGGGGGGGGGGGGGGGGCGAGTCTTTTTTAATTAACCAAAATGTAATTATAGCTTTGATAACAGTAAACTAAATAAGTAAAGATCTTGTATTTCTATATCAACGATTCGGTTGCCATAGCAACAATGTACCATAATCTGCAATATAAATGATAATTTTTCTTTCTATTAAGGAAAACTACATCCATGCTTAGAAAGTGAATACCATTACAAAGATATATATTCTAATATGACGTGCTTCTTTCTCTTTGTAAAATCTGTAAACAACACCGTGATAAATTTCTCGATATATCTATACTTAGCGCAGACTCAGAGATATATATAATAATATATAAATAACACATAGCTGAGAGGGTGATAGAGCAGATTGTTACCCCGAGAAAACATTGTCAACTGAGGCGAAGCCAAGGTTGACAATGTCTTTAATTTTCGAGGGGTAACAATCTGAGAGGGTGATAGAGCTATCACCCTCTCTGATATGTGTTATTTAATTTTTATTATACTTCATGTTTAAATGCCTGATTTTGATTGGCTAATACAAGGGAGATAATTTACTCTATCCCATGGCTGAGTGGGAGACAATTTTTTGAATGTCACCTCTCGTGCAGACCAATCAAAAATCGATAATTTGAAAGACAATGAATTAAATTTACATCAAATAATTAAAGACAATACTCAATTTCTACGTTTTGGCTCAGAACTTTTTCATAGACTGTCAAAATAAAAAAATCTTGCTTCCCTTCTGTTGATTTTTCTAATATATGTAATGTTGTTATGTACGTGACGTCATTGTACAATACTTTAAATTCAATATTCAACTGTAAAAGACAATAATGATAGGAACATTCAGTATAATAAATTAAATAACACATAGCTGAGCGGGTGATAGAGCAGATTGGTACCCCTCGAAAAAACCTTGTCAACCTTGGCTTCGCCTCAGTTGACAATGTTTTCTCGGGGTAACAATCTGCTCTATCACCCTCTCAGCTATGTGTTATTTATATAATTATATTGAATGTTCTGTTATTACTGTCTATTAAATTTTGATTTCAAAGTAATAAACTATGACGTCTTGTACATAACAATCATCCGTATTTATTAAAGCGCACACTTGAGCAAGTGTCTCCGTGAAGGGTAATAGAGCATTTGCCATGGCATAGAGTAAATTGTCTCCCTCGAATTAACCAATCAAAATCTGGCATTTTGACATGAAGTATAATAATGACTGTTACAATATACCTCCCACGTAAATCCACATGTATCGTTACCTTTGTTCAAACGCTATGCCTATTTCCCTGTGTTAAAAATTGAAATTGAAAAAAAAAACTACAGAACCTTTATTCTTATTCTGATGCATAACAAAAAGAATAAATGCATTAGAGCTCGGAAAAATGTACAAAATCAAAATAAAATAAAATTCCGGGAAATTCCATTAATGCTTTTGGCGCATTTGATAAAGTCATTTCAAAACATGACGTCATACGATTGAAAACGCCAAAGCTGAAGGTTTCTTAGTTGCGTGAACCCTCCAAATTCGGATAATATTGCATTAAAATGGAGTTTTGAGGTAGGTGTTGTTTTATTTTCTATGCTTTGGCATTATTCGCACATTTACTGATTTCAGCAAGTCAACATGGCGGCTCCTTAGTTACGAAATGTCAACTGTGTGGATTTGACGGTAGCTTACGAGAAAAAAATGTAAATTAAAAGAATGGCAAATGTTGGGGTTGAGAATTAAAAGAATTAAACACGTTTTTTTCTAGCGGTTATTTAAGAAATAATTCATGCAAGCTATTAATTTATTGGAAATTTTGAGCTTTATCTAAAAGGGGTATAATAAAACAGCCACACACACGGCATACCCACCCTCGCTTCAGTTTTTTAATGACACCATTTGACGTATTGACAATGAAAATTCTGTTCATCAATCAAATTTTAAATCCCAAATGATGCTGGTTACTGATCGGAAAACGTGTTACAAGAAACATATTTTTTGTCAAAGTTACAGCTATGCATACATAGCCTTAGGAACTATTTTGTTTAAAATATGTACTTCTTTCTTGTATGTTCTTTGTGACCGGGCCCGAATAAGGGGTTCTTTACCTGAACACTTTGTTTTTTTTCGGCAAGAAATTATTTTCAAAAATTTTTGAAATCCCACTACTTGATTTATTCCTAAAAACTGTAATCTTATTTTGTGATTTTTTTTTCTCCTTGTGCAGTATCGTTATTTCCAAACCATCCAACAACTAATAAGTTTGTCGGTTACTTGTTTTACTTGAATCTGCAGATCAAAAGTTCAAACTTTAATTATTGTAACCTGGAACCAATAGTTTTTTATTTTAATTTTAATATGCAACATCTTTCACATAAATTTTTCATTATTTCTGGATTAAATCTTTTCCAAAATAATGAGAAATTACAAACATTATATGCATTCTTTTATTCTCAGAGAGAAAAAGTCAGTAAATTTTTATTTTGAAAAAAAAAAACATTAAACTTCGTAAGGATGTATTCTTCTGATGTTCCAGTCTCGTTGAAATCTCAATCTGGAATTATTTCCAAAACATGTGATACATGTGGAAAATATCAATGAATATAAAAAATATTGTAATCAAACTAAACTCTGTGAGAAATTGTGTTTTTACAATAAGTAGTTTATGAGTAATAAAGTTTTTAAATGTTATAAGCAATCCAGTCAGTCTCATCAGCCAAAATGTTGAGAAAATGGGTGAGGGGTACAAGAAATAATTTTACCAAAATATGTACATCCCATATCAATTTTTTCATTTCAAATTTCTTTGATATGTTTTGTTTTCAATCATTTATAATAAAGAAGTTGAAATAATATGCTATTTGTTCTAAAAAAAGAGAAAAATCCCAAATTTACAAAATTGACAGCATGGTCAATTTGACACGAAAAAGCAACAAAATTTTATAAAACTTTCTAATATAAACACCTACCTATAGTTTTTTTTTAATTGAATTTATTCAGATTGGTTCACTTGATCTTTAGTGAAAGTATGAAAAAAAGTTTGATTGTGAAACTGTGATTTTTTGTTCATGATAATAGCCCAAAAATTGATGAAAAATGGGAAAATCATTAAAATTAGGTACTTTCAAATGGCCGTAGCAAAAAAGAAGTGCACCATCATATGATTTTTTCTTCAATTACTTTCTTACAGTCATATAAACCCAAAAATTAGAGTAAAGAAA